ATGGATCCCAGCTGGACATGCTGGTCACCTTGCTGCACCCCCTGAGTGCCCAGGGACCAGTATTGCTGGGGGTCACTGCCATCATCCCCAAAAACCCGTCCAGAGCCATGGCTCAAGGTACCAGACTGCAGCAATATTTATTCCTGTACAAACAATTACAAAACACGGGTGCCCCATGCTTCCCTCAGCACCCAGCCCCCCAGAACCCCAGCCACAGCCAGAGGGAAACTGAGGAATGGATTCCTGCCAAGGCTCAGCACCCAAACACACCAAATTTAGGTGCTTTCCCCAGATCAACTTCTCTGCTGCTGAGAAATTAATAATAAAGTCCTGTCCCAGCTATACGGTGCCACCAGGCACCACTTCCCCCCACTACCTGCCCACTTCTAAATTGTTCACAGGCAGCTGCTGGCCCTTTGTTTCCAGTAATGAGCAGCCCCTGCTCAGTCCTTCATCCAGGAAACCCAAGTAGAAACCCCAGAATTAGAAGTGGGGAGAAAAAAAGCCAAAACCCCCTAAAAGCTCCAAAAAATCCCATCTTCGTTAGAAAAGGTTTTGGCAGTGTGGGGCGCAGCAGTGCTGGGAGGGGCTGGTGTTTTTGGGGTGCTGGGACAGGGAGGGTGGTAATGTCACCCCTGTGGGGTCCCACCAAGAACTGTGGGGTTCTGCTGTGAGAAGGATGACGGAGGATGGGGATGAGGGGCTGAGGATGGCAGGGGGGATGAGCTCCAAGAGTGGGTCTCCTCACCCAGATGGTTGGGGGAAAGTCACTGTGGTGACCCCAAAGCTGAGCTGAGGGGACTTGGAACCCCCTTACAGCCTCACAGGGGCTGCAATGTGCCTGGACCAGGATGGGGCAGGATATCACACCCAAGTGTCCTGCACATGGACGGGGGACACCCCAAATCTTACATTCACCACCTGATCCCCATAAACCAGCTCAAAACTCAACACATCCCAGGGGCAAGGAGCCACCATGCACAACAGCAGTGGTCCTGTGGGAGGACCATGAATCCCACCACTCCCAGGGGGATGCAGGGGATCCCCCATCCATCCCAGCTGCAGGGGTCTGCCCAGCAGGCGTGGGGCAGCCCCTAGGTCCAGGTGGGGTGGGAGAAGGTGATGTTGTAGAGGCCGGCCCAGCTGGCAAAGACCCTCTTCTCAGTGATGAAGCGGTGGTGGTTGCCGCGGCGGCTTCGCTCGTTGTGGATGTAGGTTGTGCACTCGTCAGGGCCCTTGGGCTCATAGTAGTGGTAGGGCAGGCGCCGGGGTGGGGGGTGGCGGCTGCAGTGGGGAAAGAAACACGGGGTGAGCCCCACGGTGGGGTCAGGGCGCTGGGGTGGGGGCCTGGGGGTCTCCTCACCCGCAGTAGCTGGGTGGCACCATGCCGTAGACGTGGATGGCGTCGCACAGCTCCACCGCGATCACCATGGTGAACCAGCCAGTGCTGAGCCACGAGCGAGACTTCTCCCTGGGGAGGGGAAACAACAGGAATGACAGGGGTGAGGTGATGTGGATGATGGACCCCCTCAGTGCGCCCAGCGCGCCTCAGGGACTCCCAGCTCAATGCTGCAGCCCATGAAGCAGCTCCAAGAGTCAGCTCTGTCTTGGGAACCTGGAGAAAGGGGGACACAGCACGAGAGGTGGCTCTGAGGCACCTGTCCTTCCCTGTCTCTCCTCGGAACAGGTCATCAAACTGCTTCATGCGGCCGGGGGACACAACGTAGGCTGTCATGTTGGGGAACGAGGCGCAGACACGCTGGATGATCTTCAGGAGGCTCTTCTGCATCTTGGTGGGCGGCCCCCAGAAGATGAAGATGGTCTCTGGGGTCTTGTTGACGAACTCCTGGGGCCGCTTCAGGACACGGTAGAGGCTGGAGTGGGCCACCACGCGGAAGCTGGTCTTGTTGCCCACATCGGCATTGTAGCCTGTGGTGGGAGCATCGTTCATGCGGATGGTGCACTCAGCCCCGTCAATGGCCGTGCCCAGGTGGGTGCCCAGGAGGTGGCTGGAGCTGGTGACAATGACGCATTGGTGGCAGCGGGCAGTCAGGGTCTGGCGATGACAAGTGCAGGGTCAGCAGGTGACTTTTGATGTCACCGTGGACAGGGTACTGCTCCCTGCGGAGCCGCTGTCCTCGGCAGGGGACAGTTCGGCTGGATGCCAGCAGAGGGACAGCCCCTGTGTCACCGCCCAGGCCCTGTGCCCAGCCCGTACCTTGTTCCCGCAGACGGGCAGGTACCCGCTTTTCACCCCCCACTTCTTGAGGTCGGGGGGCCGGCGGGCTCTGCCCCGCAGGCGGCTGTAGGGGAAGACCTCGCTCCCGTTGCCGGAGCTGTAGATGATCAGCAACATGATCAGGGCAAAGAGGACCCCCAGGGCGGCGGCGCGCTGGCTCTGCGGGCGGGGGGACAGCGTCAGCCGCTGCCCCCACCCCACGGGGGTGCATCCACCCCTCTCCCAAGGCACTCCAGCAGGATTGCCTGCTGTCCCAGGAGGTCCCCGAGGTGATTCTGTGGCACTCACCGTGCTGCCACTCATGTCTCTGTGCCAGCCTCAGCACACAGCGATTGCCGGCGTCCCGCGAGCACCTGCAAGGCATGTGGTCACCCCCAGCCTGGCACCTGCAAGGCATGTGGTCACCCCAGCCTGGCCCATTGTCCCCAGGTGGGGGGTACAGGTACACAGGACGAGTCACCAGGTCCCCCTCTGAAGAGGAGAACAATCCCCCGGAATTTATGAGGGGAAAAGAAACGCTGTTGACAGAGGCTGGGCAGACTCCGAGGTGTGAAAGAGCCAAAGCCAGCCGAAGCTTGTGCCTGGGGAATCCCCACGTTAAGCTGGGTCCAGGGAGGATTATCCTCCCCTCGTGGGGATGAAACCACTCAAACCGCAGGGTTAGGGAGGGTCAACCTGCTGCTCGTGCAGTGAAATTCCATTAAAACCACCGCCACAGGAGCCTTGGATCAGGAGGGAATGGAAGGAAGTGAGACCTGCCCCACACAGTGCACGCATGGGATTGCATCCAGCAGACCTGCAGGGACCTCTCCAGCCCCGGGACCCACTCTGTCTTCCACTCCAAGTGGACTGACCCAGTTTAGTTTTGGGAGCCCTGGTTAGTGAGTCCCAGCCATTCCTGCAGCGCTCCAAGCAAAGGGAAATTAAAAACCACTGAAACCTCTTTACTAATTGTCGCAAGGAAAATTATGCAACAGCTTGAGATCAACCCCTGGGGGGAGCTGACACCTCGAAAGGCCCTCAGGGCCGGTGGTGGCGCCAGAAGGCACCAGCCTGCCCGGGGAGCCCAGGCCACGGCCGGCGTGCTGATGCTGAGGGGTTTCATCGCGCAAAGGCTGGGGATGCTGAGGGGACCCCCACTCCCGGACCCCCCTTCGCTCCCTCCACAGCTCTCGGGCCATGCAGGGAGGGGTCCCGGCGGGCCCCGCGGCCTCACCTGCTGGGGGCTCTCATGAGGGCTCCGTCACCTCCTGCGCCCCGCGGGCGGCGGGCGCGGCCCGGCCCCTCCGGCGGGCCCGGCCATGGCCGGCAGCGGGGCTCACACTGCCGCTCTGCGGGAGAACGCTGCTTCAGACCCGGCCCCTCCTCCGCCGGGGGTCCCCCAGCCCCGGATGCGAACCCTCCCGCCCTCCGGGAAGGGAAAACCCTCCCGGCCCCGGGTGCGAGCCTCCCGGCACTCCTACGTGCGAGTCCTCCCCCGCCCCGGGGAGCATCCCCCAGCCCCGGCGACACGGGAGGGAGCGGGACCCTTCCTGCCCCTCCAACCCCTGTACACCGGCCCCGGGGCAGGGGCGCTGGCCCGCCCGGCCACGGCGCCTTCCGCCCCTGCACCGGCTGCACGGGCCCGGCGGGGACGCGCCAGCGCCACCGAGCGCTCCGGCCCGCAGCGCGCCCCGACACCGCGATACCGCTGCCGATATCGATACCGCTGCCGATATCGATCCCGCTGCCGATATCGATACCGCTGCCGCTGCCGGTACCGTTACCGTTACCGCTGCCGTTACTGATACCGCTGCCGATACCGACCGCGCCGCTACCGCTGCCCAGGCCGGGTCCTAGTGCCGCCCTCCCGGGATCGGGAGAGCCGCTAGATCCCCGTGCCGCCCTCCCGGGATCGGGAACACCGCCGGGTCCTAGTGCCGCCCTCCCCAGGATCGGGAGAGCCGCTAGATCCTAGTGCCGCCCTCCCGGGATCGGGAGAGCCGGGAAAGACCGGGACTGATTCCCCGGTCGCCGAGGGCAGCGGGGATGGGGCAGCGCTGCCCGGCTGTGCCAGGAGCAGCGCGCCGTGCCTGCCCGCTGCCGGGCGCAGCGCATTGCCGGGATGCCGAGCTCTCCCCCGCGCTGGCCCGGCAGCCCCGGGCCCAGCTCGGGGGGGTTTCGTGGCGCAGGGGGACGGCTCCACCGCTGGCAGGGACTTGCATCCCTGACGCCTGTCCAGAGCGATTCTGGCTCCGCTGTGCCGGTGATGCACTGCCCTGCAGGAACCAGCCCTGGCAGCACCACCAGTTCCTAGACCACTCGCTCCTCACTGCACCCTCTCTCATCTCTGCTCCTCCTCTCACCCCTGGTTCCCCAGATAGCACCGGACCCACCCAAACATGTGGCATCTGTTTACATGTTCAAAGGGCTGCTGTGGGCTCAGGGCCATGCACTTGCCCATGGCGTGTCCCATCTCTCCAGGGACATGGGAGCTGCCAGTGCCCTGTGACAGCCCAGCAGCACTGAGCTCTGTGGGACTGAGGATCACCCCAGACCCAGCAGTCATCCTGCAGAGATGCAGTTGCTGGTTCCCAAACAACCTCAACTGCTTTCAGCACCCTCTTCCATGTTTAGGCTCAGCTCTACCCCCTTATCACCTCTCCCTCTTATTTATAGCCTGGCAGCCTGTGATGAGGTGTTGAGTATCCCCCCTCCCTCACTCCCTGTCCTGTCCTGCAGCCACAAGGGGCACAGCAAGGGGCACAGCAAGGGGCACCACTGACTTAAAAACAATTTTAATGGCCACGTTTGCTTTGGTCTGAATCCAAGGACACTTGTGACAAGGCAACTTGTAGCCCCTAGGGCACAGGTGGCTCCAGGGCTTCCCAGCTGAGGGGATGCAGGCACCAAGCAGCAGAAGGCAGAGCCTGGATCCAGCTGCCTGCACCGCACACCCTGCACTGTCCAGAGGGCTCGAGTGGGGCAAGGACCACAGTAGAGCTTCGTCCGTGTGAGGCACCAGTTTGTGGCCCTGGTGGGGCTGAGCATTTCTGCCCCATGTCCTGCTGGAGTCCAGCAGCATATCTAATCCTGAATTAAATATTCCTCCTAGTAGAGAGAGCAGAAAATCAGGTCTCCCTGGGTCCATCCAGGCAGGCGTTTGGAGCTGGTGGGGCTGCATGGGTCTGGCTCATGTCCCCCATGTACCAACAGGGGGTTCCCAGCCCATCCACCAGCTGGGGAAACAGGCACTGCTGCTGCAGAGACGGAGACTCCCTGCTCCAGGGCTCGGCAAAAGGTGTCCAACCGTGCCACTGGCAGAGCTGAGACGTGTTGCTGCAGGATGGGAGCCGCCCTGCCGCTGAGGTCCTGCCGCCGAGGTCCTGCCGCCTCACCCCGTGGCTGGCGCCCTACCTGCCTGCCCAGGATGGGTGCTTGAAGACAATGTTCCTCCTCTTGGCCCAGCGGGAGAAGATGGCTTTCTCGGTGATGAAGCGGTGCCCGGCCCGGCGAGCTTGCTCGTGCATCAGGTACATCTTGCACTCGTCCAGCCGGCCCTTCTCAAAGTAGTGGTACGGCACGCTGGAGTGGTTCTTTTCCCTGGAGGAGGGGACAGGGTGAGTGTGGGACTTGGGGGGACACCAGACCACCCCTCACCTGCCCCTGCCACCCCCTCCACACCTGCAGTAGCTGTCGCTGACCATGCCAAAGACACAGATCTGCTCGCACAGCTCCATGGCCAGGATCATGGTGAACCAGCCCGTGCTCAGGAAGGAGCCGGATTTCATCCTGCAAAGCATCGTGGTCACAATGGAGTGGGTGGCACTGCTGCTGGCCCACCTGGGTGGTAGTGCCACCACCACAGGTGCTTGATGCGGGGGACAGGTATGTGAGGGAGCCCGATGAGACCTCCTGACCTCAGGAGCCAGCAGTACCTGTTCTTCCCTGTCTCGTTCTGGAAGACGTCGTCACAGTATGTCATCTTCTCCTCGGTGAGGGTGTAGATCTGCAGCTGGGGGTACTTCTCCATCACCTTGACCAGCGCCTGGTAGGTTGAGCCCATCTTCTCCCTGTTCATCTTTTTTGCTGGCCCCCAGATGAAGTAAAGGGTCTCTTGGGACTGCTGGAAGAAGTAGGGCTGGTTCCCCAGCAGCAGCGGGACGCTGGTGTGCGAGACCACCCGGATAGTGCTGCGTGCCCCCACGTCCTGCTCGTAGCCGCTGGTGGGGGCATGGTTCATGCGCAGCACGCACTCCTGCCCGTCGATGGCCTGTCCCAGCTGTGAGCCCAGCATCTGCCCCGAGCTGGAGACCACGGCGCAGTGGCGGCACAGCGCTCGCTCCAGCGGCTGTGGGGAGAGGCACCGTCAGCCCCTCCTTCCCTCCCGCAGCAGCTGGGTACACCACAGCCCCTGCCTGTCCGTCCCAAAGGGACAGGAAAACTGAGGCACAGGTGGGCCGAGCTGCCACACCGGCCCCAGCCCTGCCCCATCCCCACGCACCTTCCCGTCGGGAACGCGGCTGTAGCCCTGGAAGCTGCGGACGCTGGATGCGGTGGGGCTGTCCCGCAGCCCCGGGGCCGAGCAGCAGGGCTGCACACGGGCGTGGTAGCAGAGCAGGATGTACAGCACCGCCGCCACCGCCGCGCACACCAGCGTTAGGAAGAGCCGGACCTGGAAGCGGAGCGGGTGGAGTTCTCCGGGCCTGCCCACGTGCACCGGCCCCGCGCCGGATGCCGGTGGCCCCGTGGCCATGGGGGAGCTGCCCCTCGGAGGGTGCTGAGGTGTACTGGGGGGAGCGGTGCGGGGTGCCGGGCCCGGTTCACTGCCTGCAGCGGCGATGCCCGCACGCCCTACGGGCTCGGTGCCGCCCGCGGGCACCGGCAGCAGCCGGGCTCAGCCCCCTCCGGCCCCTCGCCCCTGCCCCAGCGGGTACTCACCAGCGTCTTCATCCTCGGGGGGCTGGCGAATCCCCGGGCGGGGTCCGGGGGTCACCGGGAGGGTGGGGGCTCGCACCCTGCAAGCGGAGCGGGCTCAGCGGCGGCACCCGGGGCGAGGTCGCCAAGCGGGATCGCGCCGGTCCCCAACGCCCCGGGCTCCCCTCCGCGCCTGGTGCCGGGACACCCCCGAAGCCATTACCGGGACCCCCCCGCATCCTCATTCCTATTCCCCGGGGTCTCCCACGTGTGCAGTTCCCCCCTCCGGGTGCAGTTCCCCCCGTGGCTCCGCGGGTGCCGCCCCGCCGGGCAGGGCTCGGGGCCGGGGTGTCTCCCCGGCGCAGCATCCCCGGTTCCCGGTGCCGGCCGCACTCACCGAGCCGGGAGCCACCGGCGGGTCCTGCATCCCGCCCGGAGTGGGGCTGGCGGGCCGCGGCGGGGCGGAGCCGAGCTGGCACAGCCGGAACCGGCACCGGGACCGCCCCCGGCCGCCCGCCCCGCCCCG